ACCACCATAGTTCCTCACTGCTGCGCTGCCTAACTACTCGTTGGACCTCCACTGTGGCAGTTTTGATAAAGATCTGTCTTGCAAGTACATACATCCATTTTTGTGACCTCTCCCTTCAACATAGGTGGCTGGGCTTACTCAGTTTGATACCTGTTCACCATCCTTTGTCAGTTCCATTCAGGTCTGCCATCTCTAGGTTCTGGGGCTGTTTGTTTGTTTTAAAGTGAGGGCTTCCCTGGTGGTGCAGTGGTTAAGAATCCACCTGCCAATGCAGGGCATACGGGTTCGATCCCTGGCCTGGGAAGATCCCACATGCTGCGGAGCACCTAAGCCCATGTGCCACAACTACTGAGCCTGTGCTCTGCAACAAGAGAAGCCACGACAATGAGAAGCCCGCGCACTGCAACAAAGAGTAGCCCCCGCTCACTACAGATAGAGAAAGCCCGTGCACAGCAATGAAGACCCAATACAGCCAAAAATAAAAACAAATAAATAAATGTACAAATAAATAAATAGTGAGCAGAAGATAATGTGAGTATTCTTGCTACTGTGCTGAAGGCTCATTTGGATGATGTAATAATGGATATTCCTGAGTAAGAGCTAGCTGTGGATGTTAAGAGTTGATCTGAAACCACAATGAAGATCAGCCTACCCCATGTTACAGCGTTCAGTAGATCAGGGCAGAAGAAGGCCAGGCAGCAGACCAACATATCAGTGGCCTCTACTTCCTGCTTAATTTTCATGAAAATATATATTGAGACAGTGGGGAGAGTCAGGTAGAGATCTCTTTGAATCTGATGATAGAGGCAAGACCCTAAAAGAATGGAGACAAAAAATGAAGAAAGAACTCTCATTTAGGTGACACCTACCCCATATCCTCACAAGCATTTAGATTTGGCGTTAATTTAATAAAGAAAGAAACTGAAGTCCAGAGAGTTCTTTCCAGTTGCTTCATGGCTAATAAGTTATAGCAGTGTTTTTTGTCCACTGACTTCACAAATTAGACCACTGCCACCTTTTGAGTATAATTATGACATTTTGGAATTAACCTCGGAAGCCCCCTTCCTTTTCCTCTGATAGTGGTGATGGGTTTTTACTGCTCAGTCCATCCTTAGACATTGGTGCCCTTTTGGTTGAGAACATATTGGGGGGATGTGGGTGGGGCAGACCTAAGAGATTGCCCTGAGAGTACTTGCAGGAGAGGTTGCCAGGTAATTGCTAAAAGGTGGAAAAGTGGGGGTCAGCTGTCTCTAGGAACATCCCAGCCCACAGGTTACCTCGGAGCTATGGGTGCTTGTCTAAGCCTCTAATCCATAACATAAAACCAGGCTTGTTGTAATCCTTCCATGGGACTTTTGCTACCTAGGTCCTCCTCTTGGGAACCAGGAGGTTTTCCAATGGGCTAGTCCAAGCCCAAATCCAGTCATTCTCAAAGATTATTTTACATGCTCTCAGGGATGGTAGCACGGAGCAGTGAATTATATCATCTCAGAGACAGACCAGGCTTTGAATCTTAGTTACTATGTGTCTGACTTTCAGCAAAAACTTAACCTGTCTGAGCCTCAGTCTTCCCACCTACAAAATGGGCTTATAATATCTATCATATAGGGCTATGGTTAGGGCACTGTGCACTGCACAAGTCCAGGGGTGCTATTCACACAGACTCTAGTGGAAATGGCAACATTAGGAGTTGTGTAACAGGGCAATGCTGGTTCTTAGAAGTATTCGATATAATGACCCCTGTAAAGAATTTAGCATGGTGTCTGGGACAGTGTTTAAGAATGGAGCCTGGTATTTCGGTCTCAGGCAATCAACTCTGATTTGCTGTTGTGCCATTTTGAAACTTCCTTCTAAGAAGGAAAATAGTTCAGGGTACAGAAAACACAACGTGCAAAGACCTGGAGGTAAGAAAGTGTTGTCACGTTCAGGGAGTGGAGAGAATTCCCAGATTCTGGAGCTCAGAGGCCGGATCCTAAAAGGTATAAACGCCCTATTGAGGGGGTTTGGGTTTGTCTTCAGGGCAATAGGCAGCCCACGAAGAGTTTTGAGGGGAGTGAGAGAGTCTGATCTGCACTTTAGGAAGTTTGTTTTGGCTGAAACTGAAACGTGAGGAATGGAATGATGAGACTTGGCAGTGATTTGAAGGGAGTGGTTAATTCTATCAGTTCTGGAGACAGGCGCAGCTTCGAGTCTCTGTCCAGTGTTGGCTCTCTGTGTTCTGTCCTACTCCCTCTGAGCAAATACTTAACCTTTCTGATCCTGACAGGTTACCAAGACGTTTTAAGCTGTAAATCTTCCAAAAGGGTCACTGCAAATGTTTCTTTCTCCTTTTTAAACTTTAGATCTTTACCGTATCGTTTTATATACCTAGCAGGCCTTGGGGGTCCTTTATAAATCAGATTTTTTTTTATAATAGGCAAATAGTGGCTTCCTTGTTTCTACTCTTACCCCTATAGTCTATTCTTCACTGAACGAGCAGAGAGATCACTTGAAAAGGAAAATCAGCTCACATCACACTTCTGATCGGAACCTCCCTATGATTCCCATCTCCCTCACAGTCAAAGGCAGCATCTTATAATGTCCTCAGTGCCCCCTCGTAATCCATCCCCACTGTGTTCCCAGCTCTTGAGCCCTGCTCCCTTCACTCACTGCCCTCTCAGCACGTTGGTTTCTTCGTGGTTCCCAGACTGTGCAGAGCACAATTCTCATCCGGGTCTTTGCGCTTACCTTGGAATTCTCTTCCTGCAACTATCCACAAAGCTTGGCCCCTTTCTTCCTTCAGGACTTTGCTCAAATGTCACCTTATCAGAGAGGCCTTCTTTAAACCATCCATTATAAAATCATGCATGCCATGTGTGTGCACACACTGACACACACACAGACACACTCACACACTGACACTCATAGACTTCCTGTACTATTGAAATTGCTCCCTACCCCCCACCACTATAGCACTTTTTACCATCTGACTTTTACATTTATTTGTTTGTTTCCTCCCCATTAGAATATAAGGTCCACAAAGGTGGAGACTTTAAAAAAAATTCATTGATGAATTCTCAGGACCTAGAAGAGAGCCTAGTATACCCTTTTAAATTTGTCTGGGTGGCTCTCATAAATATGGGGAATAAATTGTGGCATCAGGGAGTTAGAACTGGGTCTGCCACTGCTCTTACAGGATGGTTCAATGTTACCTTGTTTTAAGGAGAAATCCTATAACCCACCCAAGCCCAGTAATGACTGAACAAGTAGACACACTGACCATGAACTTTTGCATATTTTGAAAATACGCTTCTTCTAGTTTTCGACCTTTTACTTAGAATGGAATTCCACCACCGCAGCCCTCCGCTGTGTCTTCTTTAGCATGGGAAAACGGTCAAAGCTTATCTCCCAACATTGATGAGCTAAAAACAAGGACTTTAGGTGATGGTGGGCTTGCGGAGGGTGTGCCAGAATGGGCTGGGCCAGGGTGGAGGTTCTCCTGGGCCCAGGTGCAGTTTTCAGTATAAGCCATCAGCCTCAAACATAGCCCAGAGAGTCTAGGTGAATGTGGGCGTGACTCTCAGACAGCATGAGGCTATGAGCGGGTCTAACTCAGCTCCACTTTTAACTTTGTGTCAGGCCACAGGGCTAAGCTCTGGCTCAGGACCCTTCTTATCCCCGTGTTATCCGATGTCATAACCATAACTGGCTTTCCAGAACAGACCTACCCTGACTTGGAGCAGACCCTTCTTAGCTTCAGTGCCTGCCCCTACAACCTTCATCAGAGCCCTGGAATCAGAGGTGATACAAGGTCACTGAGAGGCACACAGCTTGGTTAAGCAAGGCAGAGTGGTGGATGGAGCCACCATGCACCTGAATTCCCCCGCCAGTGATGCTGTTGCCATATCCCTAATTGCTTACTGCCCTTCATCACATGTATACGTTGTGGTCACTGTCATTTTGTCACATGAGCTAATTTAGATGGGATTATTGCCCTTGCATTTTTGGGTCACTTGAATCCTCTATAGAACTAATATGTATTTTAGAATGACCGTGGCAAGTCTGACATCGACACAGAGAAGGAACATTTTATGGCTGGTAACACTGATTTCACAGCCTGCCAAGCAAGAGTCTTACTTACACACTCCAAGACCTGGACCTGCTTATCTCCCTTTCCTGTGTGGGCAGCCTGCAGATTCTAGAGCGAGATCTGTACACAGATATGAAGAGCAGTGCTTGAGGAACCAGATGCCCGGCTGCTAATGCAACAGGAGACCTGGGCTTGCTGAAAATTAGGAGGAAATGTGCTCTCATCAAAACATGCTTTTAAAAACTGTACTTAATGTGTGGAAATATTGCCTTATAGCAGATTTTTTTTCCCCTCAAGTACAAATGCCATTGAGCTTTGACTGCAAGCAAGCTTGAAGATTTCTCTGTGCTGCCAAGAGCCATAGGACATGATTTCATGAAATGCAGTGAAAAGTTGTGCTCTAGAATTTAAGATCATCACCAAGCCTTGCGTTGGTAGGATTTTTAGAGTCTAAATTTCATAGCATCACTCTTAACGAGGTGATTTTGGTGATGAAACAGTTTCTGGAAGGTGATTGTACTAACCACAGTTTAAAAGGAAATCTGCCTTAGCAACAAGGAGAAAATTATTCAATGTGTCAAAATTTTTTGTTTTTTCTCATTGGCTGTTAGCATGCATGCATGTGTATTCAACAAGGCAAGGATATAATTGAACATTTCATTCCAGTAAGTCAGCTGTGTACATTGCTCAGTGAATGGGGATTACATGTAGAAAATCCTCAAGTGGAGAGATTGGGCTGTAAACGTTACCAAGGATTGCTTAATCGCAGATGGGTTCTTAGAATCATGATTCTCCGTAGATGTTGTGATAGTCAAATATAAACAAATCATTAGTAAAAGTAATAAAAATAAGTAATTAGTCATGCTTTGGATCTGGATCTAATGATGTGATTTTTGCCCCCACCCTCCCCCTATCTTATTTTTCCCAGTAGGTTGGGACAGTTGGAACTCTGCCATTGTCCAACATGCTGCGATTCAGTCTCTCACCCACCTTTTCGATGGGATTTCATGTGTTAGTCATGGTGGCTCTCTTGTTTTCCCACGTGGATCGTATAAGCGCTGAGACAGAAATGGAAGGAGAAGGCAATGAAACCGGCGAGTGTACTGGCTCCTATTACTGTAAGAAAGGGGTGATTTTACCCATTTGGGAGCCCCAAGACCCTTCCTTTGGGGACAAAATTGCTAGAGCGACTGTGTATTTTGTGGCCATGGTCTACATGTTTCTCGGAGTCTCTATCATTGCCGACCGATTCATGTCCTCTATAGAAGTCATCACGTCTCAAGAAAAAGAAATCACCATAAAGAAACCCAACGGAGAGACCACCAAGACAACTGTGAGGATCTGGAATGAGACGGTGTCCAACCTGACCTTGATGGCCCTGGGATCTTCAGCTCCAGAGATTCTCCTTTCAGTAATTGAGGTGTGTGGCCATAACTTCACTGCAGGAGACCTCGGTCCTAGCACCATTGTGGGGAGTGCCGCATTCAATATGTTCATCATTATTGCACTTTGTGTTTACGTCGTCCCAGATGGGGAGACGAGGAAGATTAAGCATTTGCGTGTGTTCTTTGTGACAGCAGCCTGGAGCATCTTTGCCTATACCTGGCTTTACATCATTTTGTCTGTCATCTCTCCTGGGGTCGTGGAGGTCTGGGAAGGTTTGCTTACTTTCTTCTTCTTTCCCATCTGTGTTGTGTTCGCTTGGGTGGCAGATAGGAGGCTTCTGTTTTACAAGTATGTCTACAAGAGGTACCGGGCTGGCAAGCAGAGGGGAATGATTATTGAACATGAAGGAGACAGGCCATCTTCCAAGACAGAAATTGAGATGGATGGGAAAGTGGTCAATTCCCACGTTGACAGTTTCTTAGATGGTGCCCTAGTTCTGGAAGTCGATGAGAGGGACCAAGATGATGAAGAAGCCAGGCGAGAAATGGCTAGGATTCTGAAGGAACTCAAGCAGAAGCATCCGGAGAAGGAAATAGAGCAATTGATAGAATTAGCCAACTACCAGGTCTTAAGTCAGCAGCAAAAAAGTCGAGCATTTTACCGAATTCAGGCCACCCGCCTGATGACCGGAGCGGGCAACATTTTAAAGAGGCATGCAGCTGACCAAGCCAGGAAGGCCGTCAGCATGCACGAGGTCAACACGGAAGTGGCTGAAAATGACCCCGTCAGTAAGATCTTCTTTGAACAAGGAACATATCAGTGTCTGGAGAACTGTGGTACGGTAGCCCTGACCATTATCCGCAGAGGTGGTGATTTGACCAACACTGTGTTTGTCGACTTCAGAACAGAGGATGGCACAGCCAATGCCGGGTCTGATTACGAATTTACCGAAGGAACTGTGGTCTTCAAGCCTGGTGAGACCCAGAAGGAAATCAGAGTTGGCATCATCGATGACGACATCTTTGAGGAAGATGAGAATTTCCTTGTGCATCTCAGCAACGTCAAAGTGTCTTCTGAAGCCTCGGAAGATGGCATCCTGGAAGCCAATCATGTCTCTACACTCGCTTGCCTGGGATCTCCCTCCACTGCCACCGTGACTATTTTTGACGATGACCACGCAGGCATCTTTACTTTTGAGGAACCTGTGACTCACGTGAGTGAGAGCATTGGCATCATGGAGGTGAAAGTATTGAGAACATCTGGAGCACGCGGAAATGTTATCGTCCCCTATAAAACCATTGAAGGGACCGCCAGAGGCGGAGGAGAGGACTTTGAGGACACGTGCGGAGAGCTCGAGTTCCAGAACGATGAAATTGTGTAAGTTCTTTCTTTATACCTATGTGTGTGGTTGAGTTGCGTTTGTGGATGTGCGAATGTGTGCGTGTTTTTTTTAAAACTAAATGGCGAAGAAAGAATGGAACAGTTACCATACAAGACGACCTTCAAAATATCGAAATATCCTAGCTTCTAGCTCCTATACCACTGATCAATATACTGTATACCCAGAGATCCTAATTTGATTTTATTTTTACTTTTTGTACTTTTACAGTTTTTAAGTACATTTATAGCTTTTAAGTAGATTTATAGAACGAGTCTTCTGACAGAATTTATCCAGGCACTTACGATGGGTTGAAAAATTTGTATTCTATCTTGATCACGTAATATACACACAGAAAGGGAACATTGAAAACCTCACATTATGTCCTAACTTCATTACTGTGTACAAATTGGGAAAGCCCAAAAAAAGAAACATCCCTGAAAAGAATGCCTGGCTACCAGGGCTGGCTGAAATGATTTCTGCCGCTTTTATCTGACACTGTTTTTGTGATTATATAATGTTTCTGCTTAACTGCTAATGCTTAATTATGACTTAATGACCAATCCTGCCTTTTCAGTTTTATGCCAGCGGGGAAAGTCATTCAGCTCTTATTTAGTTCCGGTCTGATTTTACTTTACATGATTAAACAAACCCTTTTACCCTACCGGTACAAGGATGGGGAGAGAAGTAGGATTCTGTCCAAGCATCCGAGTTGACAGGGAGCAGGTCAGAGAAAAAAAAAAGTGGGGAACAATTTACTGTTCCTACTGGCACTTTACAGTGACATCTGCCAACACTGTAACACAGAATGGCGGGTTGTGCGATAATTATTCCAAAGACAGCTGCTGTTTAGAGAGCTTTTCCTCCTTCCTTGCCGAGGGCCAGGGGCATTGCACTTACCAAAAGCAAACCAGAAAATGTGACTCGATGAGCAGTATCCAGACTGGAAGGACGAAAGGAAACTATTTATAATATCTGCAGTGCAAAAATAGGACATTCCAGTGGATAATTATGTTGGTGGAATCATTGGCAACTTAGGAATTTCAGGAGAAACAATATAAAATATAGTTTGTTCTCAAAATAGTTAACTCTTGTGTAAATGGCATGTGATATATCAAATGGGGTGCATTCTCTCCAAGATGAAATTTCTTCTACAATAAGTGAAGGGAAAACAAAAACAAAGGGAGCCGGATGGGCAGAGGAAACATATTTCTGAAAGAGCCTTCCAATACCTATCACCTCTTTGACGTTGTTGTATAGAGATGGACAGTTAGTGTGATATCACAATGAAATCAAGCAAAGAGAGATAATAGCCATCTTCGGATGTGTGTGTGGGGAGAGCTTTTGTTGAATATCTATTTTACGTTGGTTCTTATGTTGTTAATGTTCCGCTTAGCGAGATGTGTTTTGTCGGGACAAATATTTTACTGAAAGATAGTAATATAATAGCAAATGAATCTACTGCACGCCCAAGGAAGGATTTTCCCAAAGGCCCGTGTTGAATGTGATCCTGCCCACATTAGCACATAAACTTTATTTCTTTGCTAGGAATTCTTGCTCATTCCATTTTATAATCATTTCAATTATTGAACCCTCTTGTATTTGATATAGTTTTACATGGATTACAAGTGGTATTGAATGTTGTTAAAGGAATATTGCATGTTGTTAAATGAACTCACAAGGGTAGCTCTTAAATATGACCAAATTAGTGTTTTGTTTTATTTACTCATTTTACTTAGGGTGTTGTCTCAAGAAAATGTGATCTTGCTTTCTCCTGAGAATACTGGCTCTCTACTTGTTCGAGAGGCAGACTTTCCCATCCAGGACTTCTACCAAAGCATAAATAAATAATTTTCTTTTGGGCACAGTGTAGTAGAAGATGAAGAAGGGAAAAAAAAGAGACAGTGATTTGATGGTATAATTTATTCTGTCAAGCTCCATTTCAAACATTCAGCCTGTGCCATTAAATTGATTTCATTCTTGCTAAGGAAGGGATATTGCCAAATTTCAGCTTTAGAATCTTAGATACCTTGTGAAAGCTGGTAAGAACTGCTGGAAGTATCAGCATGTCTCTGTATGTGTTCTTAGGCATATTCTAGTTCAATGGCCAGTTCCTAGTTTTATAAAATTTTTCCTATATTTTATTTGCTAAGTTGAAATATGAAATTTTAGCAACGGCAAAACATTTTATTTATAAGTGAAATGAAATTACAGCCCTACATTTTTCTCTTCTTTCTAGAATTTTAATTTTAAGGCGTTTTTATCTTAATGTTGTAGAGTTTTACTACTGACGAGGTTTGTAGATGGGTAATCAGTCTATGGCTTGAATAAATTTATTGCAGTGCCTGGGACTTAGCCTTAGGCTAGGCACCAAGAATTCAGACAGAATGCTTTTAGAAAAACATAATATTATCAAGATCCCTTACTCTTTCTTGTTATGGATCATTTTTCCTCTGGTAGTTTCCAATGCCAGGTCCACACAGTCAGATCCATGTGAAAGAGAGTTTGTCATCATGCAGCCTAGTTGAACTATGTAGACACAACTCAATTTATCTTTAAAAATGAATTTATATTTCATCCAATTAGTTACTCTTGAGAGATGACTTTCTCAAAAACCTAAAATACATAGATGGGACTATTGACGCCACTGAGCTTTATTAGATACTTAAAAAAATTTTTTTTTGTTTGTTTAATGATGTGCATGAACCCAGAATTTATGATTCTTTCCAGAGCATCATAAAGAGATTCCTGGAAAAGCCTGGATTTAAAGTATATCTAATTTTAAGAAGCCGTTAACCAAGGTAGATATAGGGTCCAGTCTGATCAGGGATGGAGATCAAGAGGCAATCGGGTTTACTGATTCATAGGTTTTAAGAACAAGACAGATTCCTAATCTTTGACCTCATATTTAGTGTAGAAGAAGTCTCTTAAGTTTATAAAATAAACATGTCTGTACCTATTCATTCATATTTTTATGTAAATGAGTTGAATTATTTCAACATGACCTCTTTTAAGATCAAAATCCATATTTGAGGAAAATACCTGTAAGTGGTAAGTGGTGTTTGTAGTCTCTAATAAAATGTATTCTCGGCAAAACATTTGAAAATTACAATGCAAAAACTCATTACATAGATATAATTAACAGTTAGCACATGCTTTTGTATAAACTCAATCAGTGACAAATACTAAACCCATGCCAGCTGATCTTGACTTTCAACAAGGAATTCTGTCTAATGTTAACAGCTGATAAAAAATAAATGAAGAATATGCTAATTTGATTTGTGATTTGGTAGGTGACATCCACAGATTTGAAGTGCTACTAATGTTTGTTCTTTAATGATGCTAGTTTAGTGATAATAATTATTACAAAATGTTGTTTGGTTTTTCAAGGTCTAACGTGTTAGCTTGACTGTTCTGGAAAATGTTAAGTTTAATTAACTAGAGTAGATACAAATCAAATTTAATTACTTAGTTATAGCCCAGCAATCATGTCATTTTGGGAAGATTACGCAAAAGATCATGAGCATTTACTGTTATACATTTAAAATTCAAAGTTGGAAAACAAAGAATGTAGGTTGGAAAATTGACATAACATCTTGCTTAGCAAATCATTTTACTGGGAGTTTCTAGCCATAATTTGTTAAGCAATGGATCTGTCCAGAATTAATTTGGCTTTAAAGACTCTTACATTTTCAAGTTTGATTGTAACTTCATTAACTCTAGCACATACAATATGCAAGACATCTCAACAAATATAGCTTTTGGATGCAATATATTTACATCACTTTTTTTGGAAAAATACATAGAAAAGAAATTTTTAGTATTATATAGGTTTTATGGAATCATTATTATTATATTCCACGGAAAATAAGTACTTTGTTTTTGCTATTTATATTACTAGTGTTCTTTTCTTGCTCTATAGAATCCCAAGGAGTAAAGACCTAGCTATATGAGATAGCAATTCAATTCTGAGAGTAGAACAAATATGTAATACGAGAAGGCAATCAGCTATTTAAAAAATGAAAAAAATATTACGAAAATTTGAAATGATCAGAACAAGAATAATAATGTGTGTTTGGGGGAATCCAAAATGATGAAAAAAACTAGAGAATGTAGTATTAGACAAGAAAGACTGTTAGCACATATTACCTAGAATCCAACATATTCAAGATTTACTTTGTGGCAGAAGAATTTTATCTGCAACGTTTAGCCTATTAAAGTGACGGAAGCATGATACTTTACAGTGACATAAAGTTTTCCTGTGTAATGTAAGAAATTTAGATGGAATAATTTTAGGGTTTTAATGGACTTCTGCTTTGGTGGGTTATCTTTTCAGTCTGGAATATTTCTCTCTTCTTAGAAGCAAACCACATGTAGTATCATCTGAAAATCTAAACTATAACTACAAGAAATGTTTTTATAAATGTATATGTTTTCATGAATGCATAACTGTTATAAAAAATAAGACAGGGTAAGAGCCAAAAAAAATTACAAGTTCTAATTCACTGCTGGCGGGAGCCTAAATTGATTATGTGCAGAAGGGTTGTTTACCATGTCAATCAGATTGCTATGTTTGCTGTTGTAACCTCATTCTCCCACTGCTGATTAGAGTTTGGGGTTATGATATAGTTATGTAAAGAAGTTTTACCTTAGCAAATGAGGAGATGTCATAGTTTAGACACACTGAAGTGTTTAAAGTATGGATTCTTTTCTGAGTCATCATTCAAGGTTATCGCGTAGGGGGCTCTTTGTTTCTCTGGTTCAGGGTTAGAGAAGAATTTATATAACAATCAATCTGCGCATACTTACTAAGCTCCTGATTTGCATTCAGCGCTGGGCTAATCATTAGGAAGGAAACAGAAGAAATATCCTCCAAATACTCTAAAATGGGAGATAATGAGATAACATATCTTGTTAAGTACAAACATCATTACAAAGATAAGGTATAAGTTGTAGGAGAAGCCTTAATTTAGGGCAAAATATTTGCATTTGCTGGAAG